CAGGCCGCCCGTGCGTGGACTGCCACGCGTTCGAGTTCATGCAGCGCGCGCTGCAGGACCTGCGGAAGACGGCCTACAGCCTGGACTCTCGGGTGAGAGGGCGGGCGGGCGCCCGCACCCAAATCAGGGCCCCTTTTCGCCCCTACTGCCTGAAGTTACCCCCGGATTCTGAGCGCAGGTCCGTGTCCAGCGCACTGGGGCCATGTCCCATCTGCTGCGGCAGAGGACGGATCTCCAGTCCCGATCCAGGATACCGGAGGAGGGGATGAGTCCGAGGCCGGCCGAAAGGGACTGGCTGGAAAGAGGGTGTGGCCAGCGTGGGGATGGGAGGCCAGGCAGGTCCCAGCCTGGGGGTGGGGTGGGGGTGGTTAGAACCTTTAGTGACAGGAGCTCCCCGAGGTAAAAAGGACCCAGCCCCACAAGCCCCATGCCCCTCTTGTAGACAGTGCTGGAGGGCACACCCTAGGGGGCAGGTTTGGGGCCAGGCTCTTGGGGGCCCCTCACTTGCCTCAGGATTGCAGTGGGGTGCAAGACAAAGACACCAAGAGGTGGGTGTGTGTTGGGGAAGGCAGGGAGGTTGGTGGAGGCAGGTCTGAAGGGCAGGAGAGGGGAGAGCTGGGATGCTTGGGTGGGTGGAGCCTCAGGGAGCCAGTGCTTGGCTGTGCCACCCATATGCTTCTCTTTTCTCTTTGCTTTGCAGACGGAGACCCTCCTGCTGCAGGCCGAGCGTCGGGCCCTGTGTGCCTGCTGGCCAGCTGGGCGCTGACCACCCCAGCCAGGGTTGTCTTCTGTCAATAAACGCTGCCCACGCCCATGTCCTCTGTCTCCCTACTCTGACCACCAGTCTTTCATATCCCAGGAGCCCCGGGTTGGGAACCTCTGGGCCATGTTTTCCCCAGCTGTCCAGGTGGAGGGGTCCCTTAGTGTCACCACCAGCTCTGTGTGCCCTTGTCTATACAGGAAGTGGTCCTGCTCCTGCAGGCATCAGGCATAGCACTCAGTCCTGCCCCAGGCCTGCTTGTCCTCTGCAAACTCTGGCCGGACATCCTCGGTCCCCTGAGACTCCTCTGCATTGGGTGGGGACAGCAGCAGTGGGACTCCCTGGAGACAGGGCAACTGGACAGAGGGTAGGTGGCCAATGGTGGGTCCTGCCTAGGCATCAGGGACGGCTGGCTGTAAACTAGTGGTCGCCGTGCACATCTGCACAGTGTACACCCTGCCTGCAGCTGTGCTCCAGGTGAAGCAAGGACAGCTACTTCCCTGTGTCTGTCACATTACTGCTTTTGGCGATGAAATCAATACCTTTGTCAAGGGAAGGTACACATACTGCTAGAAATGAATCCAGGTACACAGGAGGGTGAGGCAATTTGTGTGGCCTCTCCGGGCTTTGGTTCTAACACGGGGCCTCTGTGCTACTGTCCCCACAGGAGGCCAGTCCTGGAGCCCACAGTCCCTGCTTCTGGGCCTGTCCTATTTTCTCCATCTCTCTTCTCTCTTTCCTTTTCCTCTTCTTCCTCACTCACCTGTTTGTGTATCTGAGAGACTGGGGATTGAGCCTGGGGAGCACTGAGCTTTATCCCCAGCCCTTTTTATTTCTTTTGATACAGAGGCTCACTAAGTTGCCCTGGCTGTGATCAACTTGCAGCTCACACATGGCAGGAAGTGGGAAAGAGGAGGTAGAGAATGTAGATTTTGTTCTAGGCCTGTGTTGCCAGACAGCAAATTAACACAAGAATATTTTCAGTGTAAGTATTTCCTGTGTAGCATTTTGGATGGACTTAGATGGACAGTGACTACCCAAAATCCGTTTCCCTGGGTGTCTTGTATTTCCCAGGCAGCTTTCAGCTCCTTGCACTGTCGTTAACTACAGAGTCTGAGACTTCAGGAGAATACCGAAGTCCCCTGAGGATGGAGTGCGTGCCAGCTAGGCTGATATGGGATGGCACCAGGAGGCTGGTGGGCCTGTTTCTGTCCATCTGTGGGGCCTTGGGGTCATAGGGAACTGGGACTAAAGGTGGACAGGAGTGGGGAGTGTGTTTTTTTGTTTCTGCCATACCCGGGGGCTTCACACTGGACTATATCTTCATCTTTTTTTTTTTTTTCAAAGATAGTCTCAGTAAGTCACTACACTGTCCAGAATGGGCTTGAGTTGTCAGCCTCCTGCTTCTGCCTCCCAGTGTCAGGATGACAGGTGTCATGCCTACCTTCAGAGGTTAGGTCTGAACAGAACGTGGACTCTGGTGGACAGCACTCGAGCAGCACAGTGGAAGGAGTGGCCAAGGGAGAGCAGCTGGGCTTCAGATGTATTTGGGAGCAGAGCCAGCAGGAAAGGGTATCAGTCAGCAAGGGCCGGAAGGCCACTGGATGGGGGCACCTGGGCAGGAAGGGGCCTGGGAGAGAAGGCTGTGCTGGCCAAGGCCCCTGTGGCCAGGGTGTGGGCAGAGAAGCAAGGGGCCCTCAGAAGAGATGAGCAGGTGTCCCAAGGGCTGGGAGGGAGCTGTGTGCTGCTGAGGCCAAGCCCATGTTGAAATGGGACCCACTGAAGCTGTGCTGGGCAGAGGTGGGGAGGCGGAGGGTGGGGTGGGGAGTCAGGGACACCTGGCTTCCCCATGGTCAAAGCCACTGGCATTCAGTCTGTCCCGGGCCGGGGCACAGCAGCTTCTGTAGCAGGGCTCTTCTTGCCAGGAGCCACCTGCCCTGGACCCCGCGTGCCCACCTGGCCACTGCAGGCTGTTTGGTCGGAGTTGGTCAGCAGCACCTTCTGTGCCGCAGCCGAGTGCTGTGCTGGGCCCTCTCCTTTGAGTTCCTTCCCCTTCTGTCTTTTCTGTCTGTAGAGAGGCTGGGTGATGACTTAGGCACTCTGAAGAGGGGCTGTGGTCTGCCCCAGGGGGAGCTGAGGCTGCTTTGAAGGTGAAGGGCACTTACACCTGGAGCCCAGGATCCTGCACCCACCAGGAAATGACCTCTGCTCACCCAGCCTCCCCGAGTTCTGCCACATTCCACATTCCTGCTAGTGTCACACTGCGCCTTCTGGCCCCCAGCCGATTTTCTTCCCTGTCCTGTCTCCTGGGCTCTGCTTCTACTTTCTTAAGACACCTTTCTCCCAGCCCTTGCCCCTCTCTGTCCCTGTTCCTTTCCCAGGGCTCCGGTGCCTCTGACTCCTCCCCCAACGCACGGGGACACGACCTTGAACCCTGTCCTTAGACACCCGTTCTTAGGAGAAGCCCTGACCCGCACCTGCTTCTGTATGGCGGGTCCCTGTTGTCAGCCCGCTGCACTGGGGTCCCGGGTCCACGACGGGCGACGCTCCCGGCTCAGGAGAGAGGAGCAAGAGAGGTTTTTCGGGGGTGCTGTGGGCAGAGGGTGCACGCCAGTTCCCTGAGTCGCCGAGGAGGAGACTGAAGCTCCGTAACTTGCGTTGCACTACCTCACCCAGGTGCGTGTCCAGGCCTCCATGCCTACCTCAGAGGTTGAGGGCGTCCGCTGGACCCTTGGTACCCTGACGGATTCTTGTGAACCAGGACCTCCTGGGCTCACATTGTTCCGGGGAACCTGAGGGCGGGTGGGGGGGGGGACACGACGACGCAGGGCTGGATGAGAGGACCCAGGAGCCCAGGGAGCCTGGCAGCGGGGACAGGTTAGGGCCAGCCCAGACTCTGGCCTGGGCCTGCAGTGGGTGGACAGGAGCCAGCAGTCTGTACACCGACCACCACTCTGCAGTCACGCGAGGGCCCCGCCCTCTGCCAGGGCTGTCGGGAGCTCCTAGGCAGTGGACTTGGCCTCTCCTCTCTCCCGGCAGTGCCACCTCACTATCCTACTTTCCTGCCTAGCCCCTCGCACGCAGGTGACGACCTGTGTACGCCTGGCTGGCCAGGGAGACGGTGGCCACTGTGGCCATTCCGGCCCTCGGCCCATGTTTGGGCGGTGGAGGCAGCTGTGTGGATCGGAGGCCGTGTGGGGTCCTCCACGTCACGTCCTGAAAGGTCACGGCCGGCCTAGACTTTCCATGCTTCCCTCAGAAACATGCAGGGTGAAGGGTCCCAGTTCCAACCCCCTCCCGCGCCACCGGCCCGGGCTGTCCCCCTCCGAGCCGCTGGGTGACCTCAGTGTGACCTCAGCCGCCCCCAAGTCCCAATTCCAAGTTGCAGCGCAGGTCGAGGGGCCTCAGGCCCGGACCTCAGACCTCGTTCCCAGGACCCTTCCCGAGCACGCGCCGCTGCCCTTCGTGAGGCGGGAGGGGCGCAGAGCTGCAAAGGGCTGGAAGCGTGAAGCGCGGACGACCCCAACCGCCGCCCGAACGCCTCCTCTCGCGCCCAGCATGCTGAGTCCGTGGGTCCCGCGCGGAAA